AATGCTTCTGCTGCTCCTTCCTTAAAAGGGGAGGATTCCTCCCACACTTTCCTCTGCTCCAACAGATCTCCTACTCGCTGGACATAGTCCACGAACTTCTCTGACAGGAGTCCATTCAGCAGAACGCCATCTTTACCTGTCCGATCGCTCCACTGCGAGCTTTTCCGAGTCATAGTTCTTTAGGCTGCAGCCAGACGCTCCGGCATGGGGTTGTCTACGGACCACAGATGCATCTCTGCTTCGTTGCCAGGCAACGTGCAGGGTCCTTCCCGCAGAGACAGTGACATCATGACCTTCCTTGGGCTCAGGCATCTCTGCACCGGCGTGGGGTTCTCCACAGGCTGCAAGTGGGTCTCTGCTCCACCGTTAATCTCCACAGGTGACGGGGGGCCACCTGTGTGGTCTCACCACAGGCTGCAGGGGAATGTCAGCTCTGGCATACCTCATCGCGCTCCACCTTCACTGACCTGGTGTCTGTGGCCGTTCCTCTCAGGTCTCAGCCCTCTCTCCGCTGCAGCCATGCCGGGCCCAACTGGCCCGACAAACCTCAGCATTCCTGGCAGGACAAGCTCTGCCCGGCAGGAGCCCTGGGAGCAGGGCGCTCCGGAGCTCTCCAAGCCGCACCGCCATGGACATCTCCAGTCGAGTGGCGGTGGCCCAGCATGGGCAGCTGCCTGCCCGGGTGGGCCAATCCTTCCTGCCTACCCCCTCTCTTCACTGCAGGTCCCGCCCGGTTCGGGCTCCTCTGTCCCCATCTCACATACGGAATTGGCAGAGGCCCTGGTTGGCTCAGCCCTGGCCAAAGCGGAGTGGGGTACGACCTGCCTAGAGACTGGTCTGACTGGTTTGGAGCCAGGGAAGCTTCTCCTATCTCCCTACAGGGGCTATCCCTGCAGCCCCTCCCCTGCTACCAAAGCCCCACCACACACACCCACCACACTGCCTCTTCCTGAAGACTTCAAGAAATAGTGTATTTACAACCTCCTTATATAATCTGCCCAAATAATTAATGCTGCTCTGGCTCAAGAACCACTATTTTCTACTCTCTCTCCTAGCTGCCAGATCTAGTTATGCACTTTGATGAATGTGAACCACCCATCTCCTACCTGATCCCTTGTCCCACTTTCATAATCTCTGAAGGTTCCCTTGACCAACGTTCAGGCTGCACGTACTCTGTATTTCCACTAAGAAACGTGGACTCCAGAATTAAACATGGGCCTCTAACGAACTTTTACCAGCTGCATGTACCGAGGCAAAAACTCTTTCCTGACTTTTCCTAATGATTCCCTTTGTGTTCATCCCAGGATCAACAGATCAGTCCAGGTAGCCATGGCTCTGCCAGCATGGCACACCACAAGCTGGCTATTGATGGTGAACTACCAAGGACATTCCAGAATTTTTCAAGACAATCTCCCAATCTGCTTGTGTGCTTTGGTCTTCTTTTTGTGACTATTCTTGTAGCACAGGGGTGTTTTATGCATTAATGAAAGTTGCCGACAGACACCAAAGGGAATGTATCACCTAGCTTCCACCTGCTAAGGCTCTTTAAATGGAGAGCAGAGTGAGTGAGGGTGAGTCAGAACGACAGCCCAATTTGGGCTTCTCCAGTCATCCCCCTACTCTGAGTCACTGTCTGGAGGATCTCATCTCTTCCCATTGACTAGCACAACCACTGTTCTGACTTGGGCAGCTGAATCAGTGAGGTGTAAGGGCTCACCGTACAGCCAGAAAACATTGCTAACAGGAGATTCACAACATCGTTCTGGAACTGGGCAACACAAAGGACCACAGTAAAAGCAGCAAGGTTAAACATAATAGTATAAAATGAGTAGTACACATAGAAAAACAGAGGTGGAGCACATTCACATGCACACCACCAGGCTCTCCACAGGTAGGAGGTAGGTAGGAGTTAGACTCCTACCTCACCACGACACTGAATGACACTCTGGAGGCACCTCCACCTGCCCAGCAACAATTTAGGCAGCACAGCCTAGGGTAAGAAGTGTGAACATCCGCCTCAGCTCCTATTTGTACTAAAACGTTTCATGTTTTCTCCAGCCGTTCTAGTAGGTGATTTTGGGTGCTCTAGAAGGTTAGTCATTTGCTACAAGCAATTTGTCACCTGGAAACCTGCGAAATCACACCAATTGTTGAAAAAAAATTTCCTAACTTCACTAAAAGTAGAGACCTAAAAGTGCTACTAGTTTTGGTCCTTCTGATCGATCTTAAACTCATTTTACAGATATTTTTAAGATCTGTTGGGGTTGGTATTTAATAAAATTAATCAGAACAGCATGTGCTTGTGAGGCAAGTGTCTTACCAGAACTCAAGCACAGTAAAGCAAAGCAGAAGAGCAACAAAAACTACAACCCTCTCAGGAAAAGAGAGGAGGTTTATATGACAAGGCCTACTTCTACAAAATCCTGCTAGGCAAATTAATTCCACATTTAATCTCTATGTCTCTGCAGACAGAACCTGAATTAACTATGCTCCATTTTGCCTGTGAACGAAGGCAGGCTAGCACCTCCACCACTCCCTGAGGTCACCCAGAAAGGCTGCGCAAACTCTTGTCCTTGTGGGTTTTCTGGACTCTGATAGACAAAAGCTTCGGCTGATGTGCTGGAAACAGTCCTACTTCAAAAGGGAGGCTGGATGAAATGATCTCCCGAGGTCCCATACAACCTTCATGCTTAGGATCATACTTTTGCTTTACATTATATTCCACAGCTGGGAACAACCCTATTTTTCCCAGTCCATCTTTCAAGCTGGAACTATGGATTTGAATGTTCTAGTCACAAAATCTAACCCAGTAGTGAGCTAAGTAAAATCAAGACTAAACATCTTCAACTCCTTCTGATTGTTGCTGAGGTTCCTATCATTAATACACAGGCAATTTTTACACCTGTTCCTCACCAGCCCCATTGACCTTGCTTCTATCATACCAAGAGGTTGACCACTAATGGTCACTACTGAAAATTTAGTATGGAAGCTGCTCACTGATTTTGACAGGAGGTCCCCTCTGGTCACTCACAGCAAGGCATAAATGGTGACAGGCTCAAATTGTGTTGAAGAGGTGAGAGGAAGGTGAAAGAAGATGGACTGACCCACACCTAGGGCTTGAGCATCTTTTACCATGCAGTATTTCCCATAAACATGTCCTTAAAGGTGTCAGCCCTTGACATTTGACTGTACAATAGGTAAGTTACACTGAAGTAGCAAATTTTAACTGACTTTGGCAGCAAGTGATGTCTCTACTAATCTTTCTTCTATCTGAAAATTTCACTAATAAGCAGGACTGACATGAGTTCTGAGAAACCATCTGAAAAAAAGACATATAATTGTGGTTTACTGGCTTTGTAATTACATTTATAGCACCACTAATGGTATTAGTATTCCAGAACAAAAGCATCAAAGATTACTAGTAAAACTATCAATAAAAGCACTGTTACTAGGAGAGTGCTGTGGTCAGGACTAGCACAGCTCCTACAGTTTTGGTATCACATCACAGGTAACATTTGGACAAGGGATTTAAGATGATAAAGGATTGAAAAACTATTCAAAAATTTTAAAGAAAAGTTTTAAATAAAGGTTGGGAGAGCAAAGAGTCTGAAAAGAAGTTTTGGCTGTTGGGTAGGTTTTTTTTAAGCACTTTAGTAGATCTCACTAACCTTTTCTAAAGCAAATAGCTGGAGGTGGAGCCACTGCTGCTACCTCTGGTGGGAAAGCCCTGACTACATTCAAGTGTAAAAAATATTACCCGTTTCATATCAACATTACGTGAAATATATGAATACACAAATGGGTTTCAGTGTGTGTGGTTTTACATGCTTAATTCACTTATTCAGCAAAGGAAGAAATTATAAATATTCTATCCAATTTTGAAGGTACCATTTTTGGAAATAAAAATCTTCAATAGACCCCACAGAAATTTGTACCTGTTCCTCAATTGGTATAACATGTTATATTCTTTCATTCTCATATAGCTCTGCTTCCATGGCTTACAGCATATGCCTGTGACCGCAGCTTCAACATCATGTCACAACCTCGCACTGTTTACATTCTAACGATACTTGGAAACCACATATATTCTGTCCATTGTTGTTTCATTTTTTTTTAATTGCCACCAAACCCAGACTGGCACTTACCATCACCACAGAACTCATTCACTGTATTTGGTGATACATACACGTCAAAACATTGTCCCAAAATTTCAAGGACATATATTAACCCTATAAATATGGGGTTAAAACATGCCATGCTCAATTTCTTTTAAAATATCAAGATTCTCTTTTAACACAAAATAAATAAAAGACTTCTGATTAAAGGTTCATTTCTGCTACAAGTTGTGGTGTTCTTCAATATGCATGGCAACATTCAACTGAATAGAAAATTGCATGAAAAGGAAAAGCACTTTAAAAAAAAAAGTATTAGATTACGCATTGGTGGCAAAGAAAATACACGGTATAGTTTAGAATTCAGTCCGTAGTGCACAGCAAGCTGCAACAAACAGGGCAGTAGAAAGGGTGAGGTACTGACTGTTCTCAGGACACCGTCCAAAATGTGTCAGAGACAATGGTAACTCTTCTACTGACCTCAGGAGGCTCTGGGTCAGGCTTTAAAGGTTCACAGTGCTGACACATACATAAAAAGGTGACAACAAACATTCAAAAGGTCAAATATTTTGGCTTCCAGATGTTGTTGTGTGGCACAGGAACAAAAGGATTGTTACTTAGGAAGAGGGAATAAATAGTGAAGCTGAGAAGGAAGCAGGGAAAGGCCAAAAACTGAGGAATGGGCAGGCTTTGCTCTTTAGTACCTAGGCACTGCTCTCTCATTTCCATGTTTGGAACAGATCTTTGCGCTGCAGAAACAGAACTGGTGATTAACAACATGAAGTAATAATAAATTATCGCACGTAAGCCAGCCCAGCAGGAAATTCTCCAGGGATGCAGCAGCGAGAAAAGGAAGCATGTCACCAGTGTCACCCTTATGCAAAGGCCATACATGCATTTTTGAAAGCAGATTTTGTTCCAACGTTTTTGTAAATTAATATCACGGTGATGACTGAACTGCTTTACAGAGTGCTGCAAACAAACGTGCTGGAGAAGACTTCCACTTCAGAAGTTTGGAAAAATGGCAAAGGGTGGAAACACGTAGCATAGAGGACTGCAGG